TTTAGGTTTCTGATATTTTTCTTTTTTCTAAATTCCTATGAATGCACAGTCGGTTCTGCTATAACATGATAGTTGCATTCCTGCGCAACATCACATTATAGAAAATCATGCTACAGAAATAACTGGGCCTATGGGAGAAGCAGGGTTCAGGGCCAACCACCAAAAAAATTCACTAAATAAATTGCCCAAAAATCACTCAAAAGCCTAACACAGGATAGCAAGTTTGAATGAATGTTTAATTCCTATCTAATAATGAAATATAAGTAAATTTTAACACCTTACCTTGGAAAAAAATGTCAAGATGACTTGATGGGGGAGGAAGTTTGAGGTTTCTCTCTGAGCAAACATTGCGCACGCTCCGGACAAAGCCCACCAAACAAACATGATGTTGACGTGTACTCCATGGACCCATGGGATCACATTATAGCCAATGTGCATTGCTGGAACACGCATTCTAGCAGAACCATCTGTAGCCCTAACCAGTCCAGTCTCTTTAGTATGTCAGTCTGCCATCCAGGAATCGGTAAACCTTTGCTGCACTCCCTCCATAGCCAGAATGTTCATCCTCTGGTAAGGAAACCACATTGCACATAATGCTCCAGGTGTGGTCTCACCAAGGCCCTGTACAATTGTAAGAAGATATTCCTGTACTGAAATCCTCTTGCTATTAAGGCCAACATGCCATTTGCCTTCTTCACTGGCTGCTGCTTACTTTCAATGACTAGTGTCCAAGAATACTCGGGTCAATAGATTTCCTAATCTATTGCCATTCAGGAAATCCAAAGTGGATAACCTCACCTCTATCCACGTTATATACGTCATCTTGCATGCATTTGCCTGCCCACTCAACTTGTCCAGATCACATTGAAACAACTCTGCAAACACCTCACAGTTCACCCTCCCAGTCAGCTCTGTGTCATCTGCAAACTTGGAGATATTACATTTACTCCCCTACAGCTATCTGTGACAAGGAGTTGCAAATACACTCAACCTTCAGAGAAAATTCCTCCATCATCTTAGCCTGAATTTGACACCCTTAATTATGTGATCATGCCGTCTGGTCCTAGACTCTCCCATGAGGGGAAGCATCCTCTCAGCATTATCCTGCCAAGCTCCTTGTATTTCAAGGTGATCACCTCTCCTTTCTTTCTTTCTTTTTTTTTTTTGTAACTTCAATGAATAGAGCCCCAACCTGTTTAATCTTTGCTCATAAGACAATCCTTCCATTCTGGGGATTGTCTAAGCGAGCCTTCTCCAAACTGCTTCTCGTAAAATAACGTACTAGCAAAGTCTCCCCTTAAGATATCAGTTCTGATCCTTCCTAGGTGCACACTGTCTATCTTGTACTGGACCTACCTCACCCAGAAATCTTGCACCATCTCTCCAGCCATGTATTCATCTGATATGCCCTTCTATTTTTGCTCCAATTAATACATGGCACTGGTAGCAATCCTGAGATCGCTACTTTTGAGGCCTAATTTTTAAACGTGCTTCCTTGTTCTCCACATTCTGCTTTTAGTATCTCATTTTTTTTTTTTTAAAATGGATATGTCTTTGCCACCAATGTGTGCCATGACCACTGCTGACCTTCCCAATCCATAATGACTTGCAGCTGCTGTGAGACAACATTGACCCCAACACCTGCGTGACAAATATGCCAACCTAGAGTTGTATTTTGTAGCCACAAAATGTCAATTTATTCCTTTTGTTATTATTTAATCCCCTATTACTATAGCCTTTCCACACTCCTGTGCAGCATAACCAACAATGGTGCACAAATTTAGCTGTTGCTACTTTAAGTAAATCATACAGCACAAACTTCAGTCCTACCAGTCCATAATGAAGATGATTCCAAACTAAACTAGTTCCACCTGCCTGCTCCTGACCAATATCCATCCAAACCTTCCCTATTCATGTACTTATCCAAATGTCTTTTATACATTGTAATTGTACCTGCATCCACTATTTCCTCAGGAAGTTCATTCCACAGGCGAATAACCCTTTTTTTTTTAAAAATGAATCGCCTCATGTCTTTTCTTTTCTTTTTAAATCTCTCTCTTCTCATCTTCTCACCTTGAAAATGTGTCCCCTAGTCTTAGAATCCTAGGGAAAAGACAATTACCTTTAACTCTATCTCTCTCTCCCTCTCGTTATTTCATAAACTTCTACCGGATTGCTTCTCAACTTCTCACGCTCCAGTGAAAAAAGCCCCAGCCGATTCAGCCTTTCTTTATAACAAGCCTTCCATACCTGGCAGCATCCTGGTAAATCTCTTCTGAACCCTCTCCAGTGTGATAATATCCTTCCTATAACTGGGTGACCAGAACTGGACACAGTATTCCAGAAGAGGCCTCACCAATGTCCTGTACAACCTCAACATGACTTCCCAACTCAGTCAAAAGACTGAGCAATGAAGTCAAGTATGCCAAATGTCTTTTCGACACCCCCCCCATCTATATGGGACACAATCTTCAAAGAATTCTATATCTGCACTCGTAGGTCCCTCTGTTCTACAACACCACCCAAGGCCCTATCATTAATTGTAATCAGACCTACCCTTGTTTATTGTACCAAAATGCAACATCTCGCATTTATCCAGATTGAACTCCATCTGCTATTTCTCAACCTTGACGCATTTGATCAAGATCCCTCTGTAATCTTCGAAAACCTTCCTCACTGTCTACAATGCCACCAATTTTGGTGTAGTCCGCATGCTTACTAACTATGCCTTATTCTCATCCAAACCACTTATATAAATGATAAACCGAAGAGGACCCAAAACCAATCCCTGTGGGACACAGCTGGTCACAGGCCTCCAGTCCGAAAAGCACCCCTCGACCATTATTGTCTGTTTCCTGCCGTTAAGCCAATTATTTATCCAATTGGCAAGTTCACCCTGAATCCCACGTGACCTAACTTTATTAATTAGTCTACCATGGAGAACCTTGTCAAAGGTTTTACCAAAATCCAAATAAACAACGTCTACTGCTCTGCCATCATCAGTCTTTTTGGTAACTTAATCAAGTTTGTGAGACACAGTTTTCCTCACACAAAACCATGCTGACCATCCTTAATCAATTTTTGCCTCTCTAAATGTCCATATAAAAGATAGGATTTAATCACAACCAAAGTCAGACTCACTAGTCTATTGTTCCCTGGTTTCTCCTTACAACCTTCCTTAAACAAAGGTGCAACATTAGCACCCTCCAGTCAGCAGACAGCTTAACCATAGGTATAGATATTTCTGCAATGGGTCTCGTAATTTCCTCCCTTACTCCCCACAACAGTTCTAGAAGAGTACATTAGGTCAGGTCCTGGAGATTATTCCACCTTTATATTATCTAAGACCTCCCAGACTTCCTCTTCTGTAATGTGAACTGTTTTTAAAACATCAAAGTTTATTTCTCTGCATTCGCTAGATGCCATTTCTTTCTCCACAGTAAAAATTGACGTGAAATATTAATTTTGTATCTCTCCCATCTCCTGGGGTTCAACACAAAGATGACCTCTGTGATCTTTAAGAGGTGCTACCCTCTCTCTAGTTGGCCACTTCATCTTAATGTATTTGTAGAATCTCTTTGGATTATCCTTAACCTTATCTGCCAATGCTATCTCATCCCATCTTTGCCTTCATGATTTTTTTTTTTTAAAGAATGCCCCTACACACACACTTTATATTGATTTGAGAGATTCAATTGAACTAATTTGTCTATATCTAAAATAAAACTCTCACTTATTCTTGACTAGAACCTCTGCCTTTCTTCATCCATTGTTCCTTAATCTTACAAACCTTACCCTTCACTCTCTCAGGAACAAAATGCCTCTCAACTCTCATCATCATACTCCTGAACGTCTCCCACTTGTCAGATGTTCTTCTACCTGCGAACAAGTTCTTGTCTCATACCATTAAAATTTGCCTCAATCCAGTTTAAAAACTTATGAATGCTGGACCCAAAATGTTCCCCCACTTTTACATTAGTCGCCTGCCCTGCCTTATTGTCCAAAAGAAGGTCTAGTTTTGCTCCTTCTCTAGTAGGAGCATCCGCGTATTGATTTAAAATTTTCTTGA